AGAGGTGTCTGTATTAGAGAGGTGTCTGTATTAGAGAGGTGTCTGTATTAGAGAGGTGTCTGCATTAGAGAGGTGTCTGTATTAGAGAGGTGTCTGTAACAGAGAGGTGTTTGTATTAGAGAGGTACCTGTATTAGAGAGGTACCTGTATTAGAGAGGTACCTGTATTAGAGAGGTGTCCGTATTAGAGAGGTACCTGTATTAGAGAGGTACCTGTATTAGAGAGGTACCTGTATTAGAGAGGTGTCTGTATTAGAGAGGTACCTGTATTAGAGAGATGTCCGTATTCAAGAGGTATTGATATTAGAGAGATCTCTGTTTCGATTTCTTCTAGGTCTGTATAAAAGTGTCGAAGAAGACATGAGCACACTTCGAGAGTTATTTACAAAAGAAGTCTCAAGCAATCTCGACACGTACAAGAAATGGATCAACCTTCCTGACCCTGAAGCACAGCTTGAGATCGAGCAGTTTTCGAAGCCAGGCTGGTTTAGTTCAGACATTGGTGATCTTTGCGTCATGGTCTGCAGTCGTATCGTCCAAGCACCCATCGTTGTCATAACATCGTATATTCACGCGCCATACTTGCCTTTCTTGCCAGAAAAATTGTCGTCTTCGCAACCGTTATTTATTGCGTTTGACCACACTGCTCCAGGACACTACGACTCCACACAAGGTGGGTGATGAGTACCAGTCCTCCTTTAGAAAGTTCTTGCTAGTCTCAATACATATCACAGTTGTTTTGGGTTTGTTTTGAGTTTGTTTTGGCTTTGTTTTGATGTTGTTTTGGGGTTTGTTTTGAGTTTGTTTTGGAGTTATTTTGAGTTTGTTTTGGGGTTCTTTCGGTGTTGTTTTGACTTTGTTTCGGGTTTTGTTTTGGGTTGGGTTTGAGTTTGTTTGGGTTTTTTTTTGGTGTTTGTTTCGAGTTTGTTTTACCTTGTAACATTCTTGTTATATCATGAATATATTAGAACAACCTTGTAACAAGTCTGGTATGCCATCAAGCTTGTTACAGCTTGTTCCAAACTTGTTACAACAACTGGGAACAAGCAGTGCGAACACAACTTGTCGACAGCTTGTGAACAACTTGTTTGCAGACCTGTAACAACTTGTGCGTTTTTACGCGTGAAGGCCTAGTTTTCTTTACATCTTTCTGTATATTTCCAGAACTCTTGTTACCATCCATGAAGAGTCCTACAGGTTTAAAATGTTCCTGTGGCAAGGCGAGGAAAGGTGATAAAGAATACAGTACAAAATCATGCACAGAAACAGAACCTGGGCAATCCAAGTGTTCTTGTTTCAAACTGGGTCAGCCTTGCGGTCGATTGTGTCGCTGTAAGGATTGTTGCAATCCTCTGAACGAGAGTGAAAGAAAGTTTCGTCCTGCCAGGAAAAACAGAAAGGCATGTATGTGTGGCAATGGAAGAAAGGTACTATATTTTGTAAAATTATTGTAATTCAAAAATTTTGTAATACAAAAAAATCTCTTAATAATTCATGAAAAAAACTCAAAATAAATCAATGTTTAATGTGAGCTGCATGGTCTTAGCTAGGATTTTAGATCTTGGGCGTGTTTCTAATGACCAGGGCGTGCACATGTGAATTACCTTGAATAGCAAAATCACGGTTCTAGTTATGCTCGCCAACAACAATGCCTGTGGTTGTTCTACGCTTTGCAACCAAATACAAAATTACAAGGCGAGCATACACTCACATTGCGCACTGACATTAAAATATTAAGTTATTTCAGCAACTCTTGGGGGTATTTAAAAACCATTTTAACACCATACAGTTCCCATTATCCATCAAAACATTAAAACATCACAGATCACTTTTGCCAATTCAACAACAACAGTAGATTTTACAAACTTTTTTACGACGTGAATAGGAGGAAATTCTGTCTGTTATAAGTAGCACCACCTTATTTTATGAACATACACGGCCTTATATGAAAAGTGAAGCCGCGTTCATCTTATATAGCCGTGTTTTCCCACTTTTGGCCGCGATAACACGGCCCTCTAGCTAAGACCCTGGTGAGCTGTTGTATCCACATTTATAAAACTCCCCATGAACTTTTCCCTCGATTTTCTCAAGTAAAATCACTTTGAATAATTTCTTATCTTGATAATTTTCTTGCAGGAAAGCGATGGCGAGTTCGTCTCGTGTAAAGACAAAGACAGTCGTAAATCCAAGTGTCCGTGTTTACGAGACAACGTCGGTTGCACGAGTGATTGTCGTTGTCGTCATTGCGGCAACATCTATAACTCTCCTGATGATCTTCCTGGCAAGAGACAACCTGAAGACGAACCAGCCGCGTTTAAAGGGAAAGCGAAACGCAGGCGAAGCAACCCACAGGTTAGTTCATCATAATCTACACACGTAAAAACGTACAAGTCACAAGCTTTCAACAACTTACAGGTCTGCAAACAAGATCTGAAAACAGGTCTGTTTGTTACAGGTCTGTTTGTTACAAGTCTGTAAACAAGTTGTTACAAATCTGTTCACAAGTTGTCGACAAGTTGTATTCGCACTGCTTGTTCCCAGTTTGTTGTAACAAGTTTAGAACAAGCTGTTAACAACTTGTAACAAGCTTGATGGCATTATCAGGCTTGTTACAAGGTTTTTCTAACAAGTCTGATACAGTCATAATATAACAAGAATGTTACAAGGTTGACGACACAAGGTTGTACCAATATTGTTATATCATGACTGTGTCGGACTTTACTTTGGGGTTAGGGTTAGGGGGGTGGGGGTTAGAGGTTAGGGTTGGGGTGGGGGTTAGGGTTAACAACCCAATAACTTATTGCTAATAACGGTTGATAATTACAATACTATATTGTTGATAACGCAACGAGCGGCTGGCATTCGAGACTCGATCTGAAATGGCTTATATCTCTAAAAACAGCAGCAGAAGTTATTTTTGTCTGAACGAAACTACTTTTCTTTAGTCATACAAGCGAATCAAAGGAGCGGTGTTTGCGTCGAACCAAGATGGCGAGCTCTCCTCGGGGATCTGGACCGAGCTTGAAACCATCATGCTTGTCGTCATTCAGGAAATCTTGTTTCTAACTGACCTGCCTTCTGAGCCCGCAAACATCACGTCGCTGTACCAGTTTATCGCGGCTTCGGAATTTGTCACGGAAATTAAACTTCCTATTGTGAAGAAGGAAGCTGTGGAAGTTCAAGCCAAGCTCGAGGAAATGGTTGCCAAGCAACAGCTGATGTTAGCAGGATTGAATCCGCAAACATTGACGGTCAGCGAGGTTGAGATGGCGACTGTGTGACATTGTTTTACACCTTACTACATTTGAGAACTTTTTATCTTTTAATAATAACCATGGTCCATGTTAAATGGTTACTTGTCCACACGCCACGAAATTTTATCTGTTTGTAAATTTACCTGATTAATAATAGAGTTGGGCGATTATTGATATTATCGATTCCTTCTGCCATATCGTAATGAAGGCAGAAACGATATATCGTAATTATCGTGATTATCGATGACTACGTGATTTTGCATCGCATGTGTACATGGCTTTCATAAAAGCGGAAAACAATTCTTTTAATCGTTGGAAATATACTTCTTTATAGAAGATTTGAATTTGTTTCTGTTTTAATTAATGTTCTTTACATTAATTAAAAATGAAACTATGTGGTTATTGTTTTTGTTATGTATTACATTCATCTACCTAAAATCTCGATGTTTACTGCTATATCACACGGATTTTACGCACATACATTAAATTGCAATTAGATTCGTAGTCTGCGTAGCGGCTCTACGCAGGCTATTAGACTCCTATTAGAAATAACTTTTCAAATTATATAGCATAACATTCTTGCAGCGGGAAATTTTGGGATATTTATATTTTATCGTGTCAATTGTGAATTACATAAGCTGGTGGTGTATTGCATTGTCTTGCAATTTTCTCAATTTTTAAAGTTGATTCTTTTTGGATTCTCTTTATTAATTGGGTTAGGATTAGGGATGGGATTAGAGTAGGGCTAGGGTTTGGGTTAGTTACAACATAGCCATTTAACATCTCTTCCATTTTCCGACAATGAAGTCATGTCAGTTTGGTGACGACGTCCATTTCTCTCGTTCCAGGGCACTGAGTGACTGTTGTGCGCGCACAAACCAAAAATTCGATTATTAATGAACAATTTGATTATTAGTTTGTTTTACGAAGGCTTTGTTCTAGGCTTGGTCCTAGGCTCGATTACCAGCCGTTACTCAAGAGCTTGGTCCTAGCTTTGTCCACGTTCTCTTTGTTTTTAAATCAACATGGCAACCCACAGGAGCCCGCCCACTGATCTGAAATAAGACTGGATAAAGCATCTGCTACGCATAAGTGAAGCCAATGGCGGCCATATCGGATGGCCTCATCATTAATGCACGGTCTCTTCGACCTAGATATCTCCTCTTTCGTCACTTTTTCTTCAAACAGCTCGTCTCACACCCGTTCAAGTTCGGACAACTTGGTTCATGTTAATCATTGCAGGACTTCTCTCTTTTGGAATTCTTTTTTCATCCGAATTGTCTTTCTCTGGAATAATCTCTCTCCCACCATTCGTGATAGTTCATCCGTTTCCTCCTTTAAAAACAGACTAACTGTTCATTACTCTTCTCTACTTCATTCATCTTTCGATGTAAACAGAATGCGCACTTGGAAAACCTTCTGTTCTAGTGCCGCTCTTTCAACTTAAGCTGTTGTTCGTAATTCGTCATGTTTTCTGTAAATTTTATATTTGTTCTTGTCTTTGATTTATGTTTGTTATAGTTTGTTTTCATTAAGGTTGGTCTTCACATGGGGCTATTCATGTCCTGTTGACCATACCTTCAACCATATTATGTAGTGGTTTAATCTATTTTATGTATGGTTGTAAAGTTAATAAATAATAAATTAATCTAACATGTTTAACTCTTCCTTTACATTTGTAGTCACTAGTGGGGAATGACAAATATTGCCTAGATAAGAATTTATCATCTTTTTTCCTAAATTAGCCGGTGAATAACTAAAAGGGCCATCAAATATGGCCGCCATAAAGCCCGTTCTCCACTACGCGAATTTGTTCGCGCGACGCGAAGCGAAAACCGAAATCCGGCAACGTGATTGGTTGGCGAAAAAATTCGCGGCGAAAAAGTAGGATCGCTTCCTACTTTTTATCTGTTCGCGCGAATAAATTCGCCTAGTGGAGAACGGGCTTAAGCCTCATTATGTGGTGTATAAATGGGTGTATAAAACGTTCTAAAACTACTTCTAAGAGGTTTGGGAAGCTATCTTTCACAAGTCACATAGGCGAAGATATTTGCTTTATAGTCTAACTGAACTTAAATAGCAAACGATTAGACTAGCCATGAATTTGACTTGATTTATAAGGCTGAGGCCGGGTGAGCCGGCTAAAGGCCGTCCTCCAAGGAGCGGAATTTCGCTTTGTTTTCTCTAATTAGTTCCAGCCGAGAAATCACAAGACAAAGAAAAATTCCGCTCCGCGCGGGAAATTCCGCCTATAGTAGAAAACGGCCTTCAAAGGCAATTTTCCATTGAAGTCAATCTCGTACCCAGAGCAATGCCTGTGCGCGGGCTAGGATGGCATTGGATCTGGGGAAATTGACAACCGGAACCCCTAAATTTAGGGTTTCCGGTTCTTTGTCGGCATGCACGATTGATAAACGTTAAACCAATCACAGCACAGGAAAAATTCAATTTCCCCAGAGCCAATGCCATCCTAGCCCGCGCACAGGCATTGCTCTGGGTACGAAATTGCATTGCAGTCGCTTTGCCCGCGCGGGCGGACCTTAATGAAAACGGTCTTAAAGGAGCTGTGTCGTCTACTGCGCATACGTTTTGCGCATATAGCAATGGACCTTTAACCTTATAACTAAAATTTTGATCTAGACAAAAATTTCATCACAGCTTGAAAGAGCATCACAAAATTAGTAATATTCCGAAGTTTTGTTGCGAAATGTTGTAAAATGCAGATAATATAGCCTTGCGAAGTTTTCAATTTTCAGTCAATTTAGATTACAAACGGGAAATTGATACCCAAACACCCGATTTGGGTATCAATTTCCCGTTTGTAAGGGGCGGACCATTAGAAATCCCGGGAGGGGGGGGGTATAAAATTTTTGCGGCACGAATTTTTTTTTCAGTCTCATGTCTCTGCAGGAATTTTTTTTTAATGCATTTAACCTCTGCACGAATTTTTTTTCAAGACTATTTGTACTTTGCTGTTTGCTTGCACGAATTTTTTTTTCTCTGACGTAATGGCTGCACGAATTTTTTTTCCAGGCATTTTTCTTTGTACGAATTTTTTTTCCAGGCATTTTTCTTTGCACGAATTTTTTTGGGGGAATTTTCACCCCCCCTCCTGGGATTTCTAATGGTCCGCCCCTAATCTAAAACGACTGAAAATTGCAAACTTCGCAGGGCTATATTATCCGCATTTTACAACATTTCGCAACAAAACTTCGAAATATACTAATTTTGTGATGCTCTTTCAAGCTGTGATGATTTCCCAGAGTATGCCTATTCGCGGGTTATGTCATGCCACTACACTTGAACCCGCGAACATGCATACTCTGGGGACGAGATTGGTTTGCCGTTTACATTACATTTTCATGTCATCCCCTACATATATTTCGTGTAGGGAGTGGGTTAGGGGATTAGTATTTCGTGATTGCGTGACATAAAAAGATCACCCTTTTCGCCCCCGCTCGAAACGTCGAATTTCGCTTTTTATTATTTGCATCTCTACCAAAGAAAGCTTGTTATATATTTACCACTGATTTATTTCATATGTAATAATGCACTGATGTGATGGTACAAACTAACCTGCTAAAACGCACAGAGAGGCCTGCGGAGGCTAGGTATAAAGTACCGTTGCGGTTGCAACTTGCTCGTCCCATGCCTGTCCCATGCATAGAAAACACGCGCAGAGAATTTTGAAATTTTCCCACCTTTTATAAAGCGTTATTAAAAAGCACATGTTGCATTGTATTGCATATTGTCATTGTTGCGAATACATTGTTGCATTCGGGCATCGTCACATGTTGCATTGTAATGATTGTATTGCACGTGTTGCAATCACATTGCAACGTTGCAATGTGCTGCTGCGAATAATGTAACTATACTTTGGCGGGAAAATATTGTAAATGCAAAATGGCGATGGAACAACAGGAGAATGCCGATCCAAATATCGCCGAAAATAGTCGATTATACAGAAACACACATCAGCCACAATCACAAGAAATCCGCAGGCACTTTAAGTGTTCTAAAAGGAGATCATACAGCGATCCCATGAATAAGACTATGGCGAAGAGAAGACGTGATACGGTCCAAGCGACAAACTTGAAACCCAAAGATTGGAACCGACGCTCTGTGAAGCACAGACAAAAGTTTGAACAGCTTTTAAAACTGTGGGAAAGTGAACCTCAATTTATAACAATGATAAATGATAATGGCATATGTTTCAAGGAAGAGTTCGCAATAGGCAGGGGCAGTGACGGCACAGAGGTGTATATTTGCTAGGGGTCTGACGGAATAGAACGAGCAATAAAACGTTTGCCAAAACAACTGTGTAAGAAATTCTTGAAGAATGAACGAGATATCTTGAATTCTCCGAATGCAGTCGACTCGCCACAAATTGTAAATTATTGTTTCTACGATGACACTTTCAGCCCTGATTTCGGTTATTTGATTCTGAACTTATACGAACAGAATCTGGAAGAATTTATAAAGGAGGAAGGCGAAATTATGACAGAGTCGCGTGCTAGAAAGATGATACGCCAAGTGTTGGAAGGGCTGAAAGCATTACATGCTAGAGAGCCTAGAATTCTACACCGCGACCTAAAACCGAGCAACATACTTAGGATAAAGGATAAAACTTTATTTGACTACGCTGGCCACTTCAACCATAGCTGCTTTCCAAGTGGGGCGTAGATAAATGTTACAAAAATATATAAAATACAAAATCACTAAGAAAATTAAGAACTACGAATACAAATACATATTACAAAACAAATGGTATACAAAACTCAAATAGCTAATTCGTCAGACTAACAGAGGAAATATTTCTATTGAAAGAATTTAAAGATTCGCTGTTTCTTACTTGTCCAGGAATGCTATTCCAGATTTTAACCCCACTATATCGAAAACATTTTCTGCCATACTCAGTATTTGGTCGTGGCAGAAAGAGAGACGAATTTGAACCTCGTAAATTATAACTGTGGATATGGTTAGAATTCTGGAACATTGATGAGAACCTCGATGGTGCCAGATTATTGACAACCTTAAACATGAGACGGGCCATATTATGTTTTCGCCTTTCTTCCAAGCTTATCCACCCTAATTGATCGAGGGCCAGTTGAGATTGCCCAGGCTCATCTTTAAAGTTCATTATAATTCTAGCACATCTGTTGTAAAGTTTTTGTAGTCGTTCAGACTGGCCTCTACTAATGGAATTCCAAACTTCACAACAGTAGTCGAAATGGGGTTGGACAAGACCATAATAGACCGACTTCAAAGTATCAGAATTAGTGAAATCCTTTATCTTTTTCATGGCACTTATTCCAGAAGATATTTTTTTAGAAATTTGTTCAATATGACTGTCCCAAGTTAAAAATTGATCAATTTTGACTCCAAGAGGTTTTGTAACTTGAACCCCTTTAATTGGTTCATCTCCAATAAAAACACGCGGTTGTTCTTCTAACGTGTTAATATTGTGGCGTGATCCAATCAAAAGATATTCCGTTTTGACAAGGTTAAGAGAGAGCCTGTTCGATAGAAGCCATTCTCTGATATTATTGAGATCGACATTAACGGCCACCTCCGCTTCCTTAATTGATTTACCGGACACTGTAATGTTAGTATCGTCGGCGAACATGCGTGCTGTAGAGTGTTGTAAACAATTCGGCAAATCATTGATATAAATTAAAAACAGAAGTGGACCCAAAATTGAACCCTGAGGAACGCCATATTTTAGATATTTTAGTGTGGAAAGTTCCCCATTTACTTGACATTTCTGAGATCGATCTGATAAGTACGATTTGAGAAGCATAAGAGGCGTGTTCTTAATACCATATAACTCTAGTTTAGCCAGTAAAATGTCGTGGTTTACCGTGTCAAATGCTTTTTCTAAATCGAGAAAAACGGCAAGATTATACAAACCACGATCCATATTAACATACCACTCATCAGTACAATCAAGCAAAGCAGTGGACGTGGAATGAAAGCGCCTGAACCCAAACTGCTGTTCAGACAATAAATTATTGGTAGTAAAATATTCGTATAACTGTTCATACAAGATCTTTTCAAATATTTTGCTGATGACCGGCAAAATTGATATTGGCCTATAATTGTCTAAAACGGAGCGTGAACCCTTCTTATGAAGCGGTATAACTCTAGCACTTTTCCATTCAGAGGGGAAAATTCCCATCCCAATAGCAGAGTTAAACAAATTGGTCAAAGATGGTGTAATTACAGAAGCAGATTTTTTTAGAATTTTAGCCGGTATTTTGTCACATCCAGTAGATTTAGAAATAGACAAAT